TGCTCTGTTCCACGTGCTCTGTAAATCTCTGCTGCCTCCATCCCCCAGCAACTCCGACGACAACATGCTGAAGAACATCGAGCTGTTTGACAAGCTGTCGCTGCGGTTCAACGGGCGGGTGCTGTTCATCAAGGACGTCATTGGGGACGAGATCTGCTGCTGGTCCTTCTACGGGCAGGGCCGCAAGATCGCCGAGGTTTGCTGCACCTCCATCGTCTACGCCACCGAGAAGAAGCAGACCAAGGTACGGGGAAACCTGGGATGTGCCTGCCGTGGGCCCTGCTGCTGCTGCCTGACAGTGGTACCCTGACAGCTGCCCCAGGCTGAACACTGGCACTGTTCAGCTTCTCAGTGGGGTGCCACATGAAGCTCCTCCTGGGGCTCAGAGCAGGGACCACCTGGCAATGGCACGTAGCACTGGGCAGTTGTGATATTCCATAAGGCACCTTCAGTCCAGCTCTTCATTTTTAGGCTAAACCTGTGCATTTAACCAGGTTTGAGAGTTGGAACTAGATGATATTTAGAGTCCCTTCCAGCCCAAATCATTCAATGGTTCTACATCCCTGTGTAAAGAGGGATCCAGGCAAGCAATGGGACATGTTCCCTGTGCTTCTTACCTTTCCCAGGAAAGACCTGTCTGAGCCTGCCCTGCATGTACAGTGATTTTGGGAAAAGCCCAACTAGTTGCAGGGTCTCAAAGGCTGGGAGCCAATAATGGAATGGAAAGGGTTGTGCCAGAAATCATTTCTGTGGCTGGAGTGCAATTAAGAAATTGTAAAAACAGGTATCAGGGGTTAAAACTGAGGTAATCTGGTGCCTGCAGTGACAGGCAACAGGTAAGAGTGACCTTCTTTTCCCTGGGTGTGCAGGTGGAGTTCCCAGAAGCCCGAATTTATGAGGAAACACTGAACATTCTGCTCTACGAGTCCCAGGACGGGAGGGGACCTGACAATGCACTCCTGGAGGCCACAGGGGGGGCAGCAGGTCGGTCCCACCACCTGGAGGAGGATGAGGAGCGGGAGCGCATCGAGCGCGTGAGGAGGATCCACATCAAGCGCCCCGACGACAGGGCCCACCTGCACCAGTGAGCCAGGTGAGCACCAGGCCCCAGCTCTGGGCAAGCAACAGGACCAGGAAGTTCAACTTCTACCCAGCACAGTCTGTAAATTATGTTTTGTAACAAACTCTAGGTTATTTGGGGTATTTAAATGCTGTAGTTGTAGGACAAGAATAAACGAGGTTACTGGGTGTACGGTGGGTTCTGTAAGGGCCTGTTGAGCAGCTGGAGAAATGCCCTGAATTTTTAGCACTCTTGTTGTTGCTGTTTTGTGATAGAGAGGAGGAGGGCTGGCTGCCTTTGGCTTTGGTAATTATCCTGCACTTTAAACACAAAACAAAACAACAAACAAACAAAAGCTCAGCCAGCCCAGCCATCCTCCTTCCCTCCAGGCACTCCCTGACCCACACTCCTGGCACTCAGGAAAGGCTGGGATCTGGACACAGAGCTGCTGCACAGCTCCCTGTCTCCCGGGTCTGCAGGGCTGGGAGCTCAGGAGTGCCTTGGGGCGACTCCCTGAAGGACAAATGGCACTGGCTGGTGATGTTCCTGGAGTGCTGGGGGCAGAGGGACCCCTCAGAGTAGGGGGGCTGCTCCCTTGGGCCTGGCTCTGGCTCCCCACAGCTCCCAGGACCTGCCCCTCCAAGGGTTCAGTGGAGCTTCTGCAGCACTGAGGGGAGACCCCTCCCTGCTTTATCCCTGCGGTTCAAGGTTAAAATTCCTCCAAAAAGAGGAGGATCAGGAGCAAATTGTCTGTGATTGCTTTCCCTTAGGGTGATGTTAGTACTGGTTATTGCTTAGAACTTCTCCCCTGGAGTTGGGGAGTTGGTTTCCAGCAGCTCCCAGGTCAGCAAGGTGTGTTCTGTGCTGTGTAGGAGTCACAGGAATAACTCAGGAGTCACAGCAGGTTCAGTGCCTCCGTGGCAGGGGAGCATTGGTGGGGGGGCAGAAGTTCCCTTCTGGAACTGATCCAGGAGCATTACCTTGCTCTGAATGAGGGCAGCACCACAGGGAAGAGCAGCAGACAGTGGCCCAGAGGCAGATACTCCCTCTTTGACTTTATCCTGAGCATATTCCAAGTCTTTTTAGCAGAGGCAGCTGTGTGTGGAAGGGCAGAGTGTGGAGAAGGCAGTCTGGTTTTCTGAGAGTGCTTTTCTGTTGTAAATGAATATTTCATCTACCTCCTCAGCTCCCGTTGCCTGTTGTGGAGTCAAGTGACAGTGATGGTGGGAGATGGGGTATCATTCCATAGGGCTGGAAGCAGAGCCACAGCTGTGGTAGTTCAGGTAACAAATCCTGGGAGGGAGAGAAACCCGAGGTAGGAAGTGTTAAACTCCCAATTCAGCAGCACTGTGGCCGACACTGGAGCACTCTGGCCTGGGCTAGAGTTTCTTTCGACCCTTTCTCTGGAATATTTAGCACTGCCCTTAACAGCCAGAGTCCTCTGGAACAGCAGCTCTGTGTTCTGCTCCAAGGATCCCTGCTCCTGGCTCAGGGCTGTTGAGGGCATGTGAACAGTTATAAACCAAAGATGTTGCAGCACCACCAGCCCTATTACCCCAATGCTTCTGTTCCACAGAGCAGTTACACCCCAGTTACTCAGAGCTTGTCTGGAGGGGCTGAAATTCAGTATGAAGTGTTTGTAGAATTTTGCATCATCAAGTAAAGCTAAAAAATTTCAAAGTTAAGCTGAGGACATCTTTCTAGTAACCAAAGACTTCTCTAAGTTATGGGCAGCTGGTGTCTGTGGCAGGTGGGGTTGTTGTACCTTTCTCCTCTTTCTTCTTCAGCTACTGGTTTATAAGAGCTTAACAGTTACCCTGAGGTTCAGCAGCTTCAGTTCTGTCCTGACAGTTCAGGGCTTCTAGTTTGAGTTGTACTTACACTTGTTTGGGTTTGTAGCAGTCCAGAGTGCAGGGGCTGAAGGAGCCAGAGCCTCTCCCCTCCTGGCTGAGATAAGCTGGGGAGCGAGGAAGGGAAGTCCTGGATTGCTGGTTCTCCAGCACTGTGTACTTTGACACTTACTGGTGTGTCACTGGGCTGTTTTGGGTTTCTGAGCTTCTGTAACAGACCTGCTGCCTCTGAGGGGTTGAGACACTGTGTCTCAGCAGTGGGTGAACAAGGACCACCAGCCCAGAACTGTAGAACACCAACAGTCCTGCAGCAATCCCTGCTCCCTTCAGCTGAGCTGGGTCTGACCTACCTGGGAGATGGGAGACCCCAGACAAACTCCAGCCATGTCCCGTGGGGCAGAGCAGGTTCAGCTCCAGGAGGTGACACCAGTGCTAAGCACCTGACAGGTCACATCTATGTGATTAACTTCTCTGTAAATAGAGTCTTAACTGGCTTCAGGCTTTTCTCGTTTGGGTTTTGCAAACTAAGTTCTTTAAAAAACAGGGAATGGTTGTTTTTAATCTTTGTACAGCGGTTTGTAGAGCTGTTGGTTTAGTAAAGTCACTCCAGGAGAGTTTAAGTTCCAGTTTCAGTTTTGTTCCTGTGTTTGTGGGCAGACTCTGCCTTAACACACTCCTGAGTTTACCCTTTGTGCTGGAGTGGTGCACAAAGCTGTGCTGTGGTGGTGGGGTGTCCTTTACCTCCTGCCCCTGTCCTTGAGTGCACACTCTGGTAATGCCATTGCACAAATGCTCTCAGCTCCTGAGCCTCGTTACTCTAAGTGGTTTTGCTTCAGCTCTCAGGTGCAGGTGGGGCTCAGGGCAGGTGTCCTGGGCACAAGCAGCTCTTCAGATTATCCCAGGGACAGCAGACATGTCTGCTTTCCTTCTCCAGCCACCAGCAGTGACAGCATAGTCCAGGAGAGCTCAGCAAAGTCTTCCCTGGGGAGAGATTTTGTGGACCTGCAGCTCATAACACAGGTGGGGCTGCGGGAGAGGTGGCAGTGACCACCCCAGGCTGACACCTCCCCACCTGTGTCCGTGTACCTGGAGCACCAAAACAGTTGCTCCTGCACTCCCAGAAGCAGGTTTGGATCCCCCTGAGCCCCATGACCTGTGGAAGGCTCTGAGCTCCCATCTCACCTTAGAGCAAAGTGTAGGTAGAACCTTTCAGTCTTAATGGAATTGTTTCATGGACAACAGCAGATTCCTGTTCTGTACAATCATTCTCTCCTGTTCAGACTTAGGCACAAAACAAGCTTCCGCTGGATCTCATTGTATGGTTGATGTTTGCAACATGTACTTTTGTTTTTTTAATATAACACAATAAATTAGAAGAAATTTCATATTTACACGTGAGTCACTTTATTACTTGTTGGAAGCACGATGGCCTCGTGGGCCATGGAGGTGGGAGGAGCTTTGGGGGAGAAATACCACCTCCTTGTGGAGTTAATTTGACCCCCTGGCACTGCTCAGGGCAGAGGCCCCAGGGGGTAAAGGCAGCAAGTCAAGGACCTGAGCATGGGGCATTTTAGCTGTAATTGTGGTGAAGAGACAAGGGGTGGATTTGGTGTAAGTTGTCCATTTTCACTTGGTGTTATGATGATGCTATTTTGATTGGGGGAGGGGGGAGTTTTTGTTTTGCTTTTGTTTTTTTAGGTAAGTGAAGGTTGTGTGGTGAACGTGGATTTTTCAGTTTAACTGCAGTTTCAGCTCAACCAAAGCACCAAAACCATCTGCACCAGCCCTGCTGTTGCCCTGACCCTCCTCTCGTCATTCTGAGCTAAAGGTTTTGCCAGTCTGCCCACAAAAAAGGTGTTTTCAGACCAGAGTTAACATCACTAATCCGCACTTTTTGCAGTTCTCCTGAGTTGTGACTCAAAGTACAGCTAAAGAAGCCTTTTGGTTTTTGTCTTAATCCTTCCTGACCGGTTAGAGCTCTCAGAGACAGACATTTTACCTGTGGAATTGCAGCTTTTGGTTTAAACACATCCCTGTGACCGTGTAACGAGCATCTCTGCTCACTGGAATGTTACAGCAACATCGTGGATTTTATTTAGCTATAGTAGTTTTAAGCTATAAAAAAGAGCCTAAAAGATGCAAGCAAACTCTCAAATCACAGCAGCCCTGTGGCATCAGAGATTCCAGGGGAGATGTGAGGGCTGGTCTCATCCTGCAGGCTCCTTTCTGCTCCCAGCCAAGGCAGGGCCAGGAACAGGAACTGGTTCTCATCAAGACTTTACTTGGGTTGACACCTGGGACAAGAAAAAGGAGTCATTAAATTAGGGACAGCTGACCAGTGCCCTGAGGGTATTACACCTCCATGGAATTCTTCCTTGGAGCTCTCAGCTCCTCACATGACCTGCTTGGGTGACATGAAGTGCCTCCCCTCCATCCCCCAACCGATTCCAGGCATAACTTGGTTGAGGGAGGCAATAAGAGGTGGAAAATGTCACCTGAGACCTCATTTTGCAGGTGCTTGTTGAATTTGGGTTAGGTTAAATTCTCTAACTGACCAAGCCAGGGGTGAGTCTTGCTCCCCCATCCCTGGGCCAGCTCGAGGGCAAGCAGCAGTGGCAATTCCTACACAATTCATGGAGCTGCAGCTCCCAGCATAGCCAGAACCAGCTGTTGTGCATCACCTCAGGCAGGTAAACACTGGTGAGTAGTGACTTCTGTACCTCTGCTCTGAGAGAGGATTCAGTTCCTCCTGAACTCCCACAAAGGGCACTTGGCTGTGCTCTCTGCAGGTATAGGGTGTCACAGGAGGAAGCACAAGGTGTATTCCGTGCTCAGATGAGGCCTTACCACTGTTAGTTGTCCAGTCTTGTCCTTGAAGACCTGAGGCTCCTTCCCCACAGTGAACATCATCGTCCCCTCCTTCCCGGAGCCGATGCGGAACCGGAGGCTGCAAGGACAGAACCCCCAGGAGTGCTCTCCCCACAACAGGCTTTACTCTAAGCCCCCTTTATTTCTGTTCCTTGGCAAATCTCCTTAGATGAGAGATCAGAGCCCCAGCTTAGGTGAATTTCCTAAACAATTGCATTATCCCCCCAGGCTGATGGGTTTGATGAATGGAATGTCCCTGCCTGGCCCAGGCTTTGAATGTTCCTGGTGCAATTAAGCACTAGAAGTTAAGCAGATCTGACCTGGAGAAAACCACTGAACACACCAAATCTAATTACAGCTGAAAGGCAAAAGCCAGAGAGAAAAGCTGGAGCAGAAGTGCAGGTTTCACCTGCCAGCTCCAATTCACAGGGAGATCAGAGACACAGACCATCCACCTGCCCTCAGCTCGGGGCCGTGGCTGCAGGATCCTGAGCTCTGCAGTCACATTTTGGGCCTCCTCAATCCCTTTGGGAGAGGAGCATTTATCCTCAGGTGACCCCCAGCTTTCCAGCTGGCTTTCCTCAGACCTGGGGCTAATGGGATCCCCTGGGAAATCACTAAACTCACCACCTCATGTGCAGGACACAGCAGCAGGAACCTGAAAAAGGTGGTTTTAAAGTGCAATCACCTATAAGTAAGTTTGGGGTTTAGGCAGCTGGGGCATGGGCAGCTCTCAGAGCAGAGCAGCACACCCAGCAAGGTGCACCCACCATGGAAACAAGCCTCATTAGCCTGGGAAAAAGGTTGGGATGATTTTTAATATATTTTCTCTCAGTGCATCCTATCCTGTCTCCCCTGTGCCTACGGAAGCCATGGAATGCTGCTGCATTAGACCTGACCAGCTTCAGGCACTGTCTGCTGGGAGAGGGCAATAGTCTTGACCTGAGTAGTCCAGACCTAAAAGGTTTTGAAGCAGGTTTTTCCATAGAATACAGCCTGCCCAGTGGTGCCCATCCACCTTCCTTCCTCACCTTCCCTGCACAACCTTAACGAGGCTTTGCTTGTTGGCCAACATGCAGAGCTTCGTCACCGTCTCGAAGACGTGCTCGCACTGCAGGATCACATCGCCCTGGAGAGGAGAAAAGAGGGATAAAGGCACCTGGCACCACCCCAGAATGTGACCACAGAGCAATGGTGCACTCAGGGAGACTCCTTTGGAATGCCAGAGCAGTGACTGCCTGGCAGAAGTGACCGAATTAAACATCCTTTCCAGGGATTATTTAGGACTTAGAGCAACTCTGGCTTTAAAAAAAGTCAAGAGCATGTCCAGATATGGGAATGTAGCTAGGGAATGGTCTGGAGCACAAGTCTGATGAGGAGGAATTAATAAGCATCAGTAATTATGTAATCCCAGTATTTTGTAGGATGATATTGGAAGCATCAGCAACAAGACCTTATTTCTAACTACCAGCTCACAGGAGCTATATCACAATTTTCTACCTTCTGTTTGTTGTCCTCTGGAACATGAATGACCACGATCCCATCACTCAGGTTACTGGTGGAGATCCCTTCAAAAGAAATCCAAAATTAGATGAAAACCCACCAAACCCAGCTCCAGAGGGCAAAGAACTATGTTCTCTTAGTTACAAACTTCTACTTCAAGGCTGACACCCAAATCCTTTGTCCATCCCCCAGGACAAGCTGTTCCTGGTAGGTAATTGCTCCAAATATCTTTGTAAGACTAAGTTTCAGAAGTTCATCCTTCCCCCAGGGTCTCTGACAGGACATGAAGCCCCACAACGACTCATGGACTCATCACAGAGTCATGGAATGGTTTGGGTTGGAAGGGACCTTAAAGCCCATCCCGTTCCACCCCCTGCCACGGGCAGGGACACCTCCACTAGCCCAGGGTGCTCCAAGCCCCATCCAACCTGGCCTTGGACAAAGGACTCCCAGAGTTACCTTTCAGTGTGGAGTAGTCGATCTTCTGCTTGACCTTTGCCACCTCCACCACGTAGGCCGAGCTCTGGGTCAGCACCAGGAGCCGCTCCCGCGCCTTGAACCCGTTCCTGTCATATTTTATCACGGGGGTCACATACTGAAAACAACGAGTTGGAATCAGCACTTTCACTGCTGCAGGGCCTGGGCCAGGCAGTTGAGTTTTCCTGACTGGAAGCAGCTCAGTGAGGGGCAGCTCTGCCTGTGGAGCTGCAGGCCTAGCTCTCAGCAGCTCCTGCCGAGCTCTGCTCACAGGGATCTGGATTCTTTGTACTGGGAAATCCAGAGAGCAGAACCCTGCTCTGAGCAAGATGGGTCCCCTGTGCCCTCTGTGCCAGAACCATGGGAAATGCATGGACACCCTGGCTCTGCTCCTGCCCTGTACAGCCTGAACAGGGCTAGGAATGGAATCTTAAATAACTTATTTAGGTACATTTTGAGGCCTGTCTCCAATTTAAAAGCAAGGAAATAGTGGCTCCACTGCTGTTCATCAGGCCCTGTGTGACCAACCAGCTCCAGGACTCCAGTGAAGCCTATTCCAGGGGTTCTGTCCTTCCCTTACCTTGATGTTCTCCCCTTGGATGAGCTGCAGCACTTTGGGGTTTATATCATTCACTTCTGAGGAGCAAACCAGAAAGAGAAACTGAGTGTAGGTGACAGACCTATAGCCACAGACAGTTACCACTGCCCCAGCCAACACCAGAGAGCTGCATTGTCTTCATCCCAGTTGTCCTCATCCCTCTGGCACAATCCCTCCCAAACTGAGGGTGGTCACTTCCAGCCACCCCCAAACCCATTTTGGTGACTCTCCTGCCTGATAATTAATTCACACTGGGAGTTTCTGCCCATTCTTGAGTCTGTTGGTTCAGACCCTAATCCACCCCAGCCCACAGGGAATTCTGCTTGGGTTTCTGGCTCTGTGTCCCAAAGGGATCCCAGTACCCCCAGTGTGAGAATCAATCTGGCAGATTGATCTCTGAGTAGGTGTCACTAGACATGGCAGAGGAAGGAACTCCAACAGCAGGGCCCAAATGCAGGAGGTGATGCTGCCTCTGCCAGGTGGGAATTTCTCTTGGAAATGAGTCTGTTTGTCCAACAGACCTTCCCTGAGCAGGAGCCCATGGCCAAGGCCCTGGGGGTTGCTGTGCACTCACTCAGCCGTGTGTCCAGGAAGGGCTGGTTGATGCTCTGGACATATCCCTCCTTCTTCCCTCGGAAAACAGCACTGGTCACCACCTTCTGCTGCAACTGAGGTGGGGAGGAACAGCCTTTATCCTCAGAGATCCTCCATCAGGAACATCAGGTCTGATGTGAACACTGTTACTGCCCAACATCCTTCCACTCATGCACTGCCCACCTGACTATGGAATCGTGGAATTGTGCTGCATTTCTTCCAACAGCTTTAGGCTATTCCTGTATTACACCAAATAAAGGGGCAGCAGGGACAATCCTACAGATTTTTCTGATTTATGGGTCTTTTCTAATTACATGGAGTGCAGTTTTAATGCCCTAAGATAAAGCCCCACGTGTCTGGAGGAGAACTGCTCCATACAGTGCAAGAGACACTGGAAGGAATCCCTGACTCCAGGCTCCCATGTGATTGCTCTTATCGCTGAGTGGGTGAGAGCAGCAGGAGCAGGAGGTGCAGCCTGTGTTCCAGATGCTCCACAGGGAACAGAGGTCACTCAGGCACAACGTGTTTGAACTCACACACTGGCACTCAGGTGTTGGTTACCTGCGCTTTCCTCTCGGCAGTGACCCCCCGGCAGTATTTCCTCACCAGGTTCCTCATGCAGATCTTCTGGAGCAGCTCGGATGTCTACATCAAAAAAAGTTAAAATAAAACAGTAGGGAAGTTGTGCAAACAGGTCTGTCTGTGCAACGAGCCTAAAAGCTCGTGGGATTAATTTTGTCTTTATAGGGCTTGTGAGTTCACTTTTCTGTCTGTGCATTTTTCCTTTGTATTGTTTAAAACAACACAGAGCTCCCTCCTTCCCCTTGGAAACACAAACCCGGGGCCATTCCTCCCACTCCCATCCAGACACAGCCGATCTCAGGCTCTTCCAAAGGGGACAAGCCAGCAGATCCCTGCTCTTCTCCCACACAAGGAATGCACACACATGACCGCGGAACAGAAGCACCTTCACCTCTCCCAAAGCCTCCAGCAGCACCCACCTCTTCCAGGATGGAGGGAGGTTGGAGCCAGCTCTTGTCCAAGACATTTTTTGGAAGGTGGTCTCGGAGCTTCACCAGGTAGTTGTACTGGGCAAGCCTCACAAACTCCCTGTTCTCTGGGCAAAGGGGCTTCTTCCGATTGATGAAGCCAGTTATGAACCTACAGAAAACACCAAACCAGAACTGACACGTGACCTCGAGAAATCCATGGAGTGAGGTGAGGGACAGAGGACACACAACAGGTTAACAGATCACTGATGTTAACAGAGGTACAGCAGTGGCAATCTTAAGCTTTATAATGTCTTAAATATTAACTTTTTTTTCCCAAGTTCTGTTGGCCAGAACACGGTGCTTTGGAGTCTGAAAGGAAGATCAGCTCTACTTAGGGAGTTGAGTTAAAGGGAGTGGAGAGGGAGGACGAAAGGGGATGGAGGACTGTGCAAAGTATTAGGAAGCAATTGTTCCCTGTGAGGGTGGGGAGGCCCTGGCACAGGTTGCCCAGAGCAGCTGTGGCTGCCCCATCCCTGGGAGTGTCCAAGGCCAGGTTGGATGGGGCTTGGAGCAACGTGGTCTAGTGGAAGGTGTCCCTGCCCATGGCAGGTGTGGGACTGGATGAGCTTTAAGGTCCTTCCAATCCAAACCGTTCCAGGATTCTATGGTTTGGAAATACAAATCAGAGCCACAGAAATTTGTGCCAGTCAGAGAATTCCTGAGGAGGTGCCAGGCATTTCAGACCAACCCCTGGCACTTGTCCTCCTACCTATAACCACAGCTTGGAAATGGCTGGGAAGGAGCTGGTTTTGACTCCCTGCACTGTCAGTACTCTGGGCTCATTGTCCAGAGACCATCTCCACGCTGGGACTCCCCTCCCACAGCCCTCCCCAGGACCCCCCCCAGTGATAGTTACTTCCTGATTGTCTGAACTGCCCACGTCCTCTTCTTGGCCTCCTTCCGTGCCAGCGCTCCTCGCCAACACGCCTCCAGCTTGATGGCTGCAAGAACAATCAGGTATCAGAGGGCCTGTGCCAAGCTGTCCTTTAATCCACACAGCAGAAGATAGAACTGGTTCTCTTGCAGCTCTAAAGATCAGCTGATGGGAACAGCAAGAAGTTTAGGACGTTTTCTTCTCCATCATAAGTGGTTGATCCAGTTTCAGCTGCACTGGGGAGCTCAACCCCAAGGCAGGGCCAGACCTTGTCACTGCTCAGCCTCCCGTTGTCCCTGCACACAGCCCATCTCAGAAAGCTGCCCTTTGAGCCTGCAGATTTTAGATCAGCCTGCCTGATGTGGTAAAAGGGTTTTTTCCCCCCCAGCAGCTGATAATCGGCTCCTGGGTACTCCAGAACATCCCCATGTGCGTGGCAGAAAGTGCTGCTGCTGCTCAGAGCTGCTCCCACAGCTGGTGCCTGGCTGGGGCCAAGAGCAGCTTGTGGTGTGAGGAGCCAAACACAACTAAAAGGGTCTGTGTAACTGCCCTGTGAATGCTCTTTGTGCAGTTGACACCTGCACCTCACCTAACACCCACAGCCCTGCAGGGAAGCCACGAGTGTTACCCACAGCACCATGGATTTGTGACCTCCCAAAGCTACAACTCCCATGGAAAGCCCAGCCCTGAGAGAATCCTCCACTCCAGAGCCCATACCTGCTTTCCTCTTCTTCTGGTATGCTCTTTTCCCAAGAAATCCTTTGTATTTGGCCTGTAGTCTTGAAACTGGAAAAAGAGGCAGGGACATCACTTGTACCTCCAGGACCAGAGACTGAGGAGCCGAGATCCCACACTCCACCAGCACAGGAGGGGCTGCACAACCACCAGGGAACAGAGGAGCCACAACAGCAACAGGTCCAGGAGTGGCCTGTGTAGGTACTGTGCCCTTCCTTTATGCTTTTCAGGCAGGTGCAGACAGGTGCCACCAGGATGAGACAGGTAAGATTCTAATTCCAAGGGAAAAGTACTCAGTGCATCTAGGCATGGACTCATAGGACTGAGGAGCTCTGAAGGAGCCACAGATCCAAGACTCAAGCAATAGAACCAGTGATTTCTCCCCACCCTGGAGAAAGATTACTGAGTTTTCCATGGATTCTGCAGAGCTATGCAGACCAGGGAGCTCAGTTCCCACCACGGTGCACAGAATCCCAGAGTGGTTTGGGTTGGAAGGGACCTTAAAGCCCATCTTGTTCCACCCCCTGCCATGGGCAGGTACACCTTCCACCAGCCCAGGTTGCTCCAAGCCCAGTCCAACCTGGCATCTCCTACATCAACCTGGAGCCCAGAACACGGTTCACCAGGCCCTGCTGCTTAGTCTGTGTCAGAGGAAGGGAACTAGAACCTTACTCAGCAGTTGTTTCCTGTACTCAAAGGCATCTTCTGTAGCAAACAGAGTCTTTGGGAAACGAATGAATATTTTGGTTCTGAAAAAGAGACCAGGAACAGGTTATCATTCATGGTGGGCCCTTGTTTCAGCTGCCCCAACCAGGTTCAGGGTCCTCCAACCAGCTGTGATACCACCCAAGCCTAAAGTTGCCCTGGGCTGCCCAAGCAAGCAGGAAACCTGGAGCTGAGGCAAAGCAGCTCGTCTGCCCTAACCCAGAGATGGAAGAAACGAGGCTGGAAAGCTTCCATGGAAACAGGTAAAAATAAACAATAAATGTCTGCATCTGGGGGCTTTATCTGTCTCCTTGCTTGTGTCACAGACAGGACAGAAGATCCAACAGCAAACACTGAGAGCAGAGATCACAGCCAAAGTGAGGACATTTACCTTCCTAATTTGTACTCCTCAGGCTTGTAACCTATGTGCTTGATGAGCCTCTCCACACCCTCAGCTGCTGTCCCATGCCAGTTGGGCCAGGTAGCTGGACAGAGGCATTTATACCTGAAAGGTCAGAAAGACATCAACACAAATGGCATGAAATTTGAGAAACCCCTTCCTGAAAACTCTCCCCCTCAAATTCCCACTGCTTCATTCGAGACAGACGATGCCAAAACGGGTCAAAACGGATCCAGACAAGACACGTGCAAAGGTTATTTTTGGTGAAGAGGAGTGTCTGCTGACACCTCCCATCACTGGGGCTGGACATTTAACCACAGCTTGCTCAGAAGCCCCCACGGGAGGGCAGGATTCCCTGGGAAAGCCCACCTTTGCAGGAAGAGCTCGTACTTGCGCCGGTACGCGAAGCCGGCTCGTCGCACCCGCAGATGCTCCATCAGGCCCAGGTACTTCACCTGGTGTCGGATCAGGAAATCATCAAACTTCCCTGCAGCAAGGACACACACTCACTGGCAAGTTCTGCCTGGGGAAGCTCCCCCACTGGTCCATGTGTTGGGAGAAACCAGGGAGGAATCAAATCCCCAACTATCCAAGGTGATGACTTTGCTGCAGCTTAACTAAGCTATTTACGTATACATATGTATAAAAACACACACAGGCACATACACAGCACATACACAGGCTGCACCTTGCTACAAACAAGTCTCTCAGTTCATTCCTTGACCTCCTCAGTGTCTCCAGCCTTACCAGGCTCCTTGTTGTCGTTGGGTTTAATGCAGCGGATGTAAGAAGGCTCCTTGGACATCAGGATTTCTATCAGACTTGTCAGGCTGTTTTTGAACTGGGTTGCAACCTAAGACAGCATTGAAAGAACTGTCTTAGCCTTGGAACTCATCACTGCAGGAATTGAGATAGCTCACTCCCTGCATCCAGCTTAAAGCTGGAATTGAAAGTTGTCGTGTTTTATATATATACATATATATATATATAAAAACACTGGCTGCTGTCTCAGCAGCATCACTGCTCAGCTGCCAGGAAATTTGCAGGGGTGGAACAGCAACAAAAACATCCACCGAGTTCAGGAATCCCAGAATCATTAGGGTTGGAAGAGACCTCTGGAGATCATCCAGTCCTGTCCAGGAAGGGTCACCTGGAGCAGGTGACACAGGAACTTGCCCACATGGGTTTGGAATGTCTCCAGAGAGGAGATTCCACCACCCTCCCTGGGCAGCTGTTCCAGGGCTCTGCCATTTCTATGGAGAGAAACTTTTCCCTCATGTTGAAGTGGAATTTCTTGTGTTTTAGTTTATGGCCATAAGTACTAAGGGCGGGATCAGTGGTTAAACCAAGGCTTGGGGAGTTGAGTTTACATTCAAAGTTAAGACTAAAGACAAAACTCACAGTCTCTGGTCTCCTCCTGTTGTCCAGCTCTGACAGGAGGAAACAATCTCTAATGATGGCATTCTTGGAGTTGCACAGAACCTGAAACAGGAGGAACTAGAAGTTGCCTTATTGAGCAGCACTTCTATTGCTCCTATTGAGCAGCACAGCCCTGAGGACACACACAGGTGCCTAAAGGTCACTGCTAAAGAGAAAAGTACATTCTTTTTTGCTGCAGGGATTAAATACATCTTCTGCAAAGCATTTCTGCTCCAAGCAGGTAATGAGAGAATAGCATCCCTTTTTTGTCCTTACCTCCTTCAGGTTTCTGTACAGCAGATCGTTATTCTTCTCCAGAAATCCTGAAGAAAATATTTTTAAAAAAGTTTAATTCTTTTGGAGGCCACAAACTTCAGCACAAAATCAGGACATTTCCGTCCTCAAAATTCTCTCTGCAGTCACGTGTGAGACATTCAAATAACAGTGCCTCCAGAGGGCAGGTATTTGGGAATTCCCCTTCCCATCAAGTCCTCAGCTCCCACATCACCTGAAGAGCTCAGGTAACTCCCAGACTGGGCCTGCTCACTCACCAACAGCACAGTAAGTGACCTCTCCTGCGTAGTGGAGGAGCCGGAAATCCACCCAGTCGATGGATTTCCGCGTTTTCTGGTCCGCGAGTTTGCGACTGCAGGGGAAAAACAGCAAAACACCAAGAGAAAGGGCAACAAACAGCTTTGCTCAGGCTGGAGAGAGTCACAGCTGCAGGACAGCTGGAAACATAGGGTTTGTGCCTCTTGATGGGGCTCTGACTGTAGAGTTACGGCCCAGAGTCAAACCATCATTTATCTCTGGTGGCAGCAGAGAATGGGAGCAGCTCCCATGAACTCAGAATACCTGTGACCTTCCTATTGCCTTTTGACAAGGACCACCCTTTCCAGAAATATTAAGATTTCTTCTCATAACATTCATTTAAATACATTCTTATTTGCTTAAATGGGGGAAAAAGATTAGCAGCTCCCTCAACTTCAAAGCAAACCCCGGGCAAAGGATTGCTCAAGATATTTTGCCCTGGGGCGAGAACCCAAATACAAAGGAGGAATCCAAATGTTCAAGAATAGCGGGAAAATTTTAGAAAGCAAGGATTCCCTGGAGAAAAAAAATACCAAGAAAAAAAGAGCAACTTCACAGTTGAAGTTTCAGCTTTGTAAGCAGTCAGTAACTGCAGAGCTGGGTGTCACAACAGCACATTAGTCTATCAAAGCTCCTTCCAAGAGCATCGCCAAGTACAGATCCTGTTTAAGTAGCTCCAGCACTGCTATTTAAAGCTTTAATCAGGCAGAACAGCATTAAGGCACATTGTGGTGACAAGGAAGTTGGCTCCAAATTTTCCACTTGGCTGTGGCGAAGTTCAGAGCTGTAGGAACAGTGACAGCTCAGCAGCGGGGCTCGGAATTGATGCCTTGTCAGAGCCTTCAGCAGCTCCTGCTGGGAACCAGCCCAGCGCCAACGCACTCATCTGCCACCAAAATGGGCTCCAAACCCACTGCAAACGGAGTATCAACCAAAATGTCACTCAGCTCAGGGATAGGAGCAGGAGCATTTTCTCTCCTTTTCGTACTCAAATCTCACAAGTGGCAAGATGAATGTCAATATTTATACACCCCTTAGGCATTGGGCTCCTTGTCACAACATCTTCAGCTTTCCCTGGAGTCAGTGGGGCCAAAGCCACCTGTGGCCAGAGTCATCTCACCTTCATGGGCTGAAATCATGGGCTGAACCCATGAGTCCCTAATTTAAATGTGGAATGAAACCAGTTCACAGATCAGCATCACACCAGCAAAGACACAAGACCCCCCTCCACCTCCCAGTGCCTCGGGTCAGACTCTGCCAGTGCAGCCCATTTCAGTGCCAGACACTGGACGGGCTGCTTGATTTGCTTTGGTACAAAGCAAACATTGTTCCCTCCCCAACACTGTCATGGATTTGAGATGGGGAGAGGCTGGGATAGGATACAGAGGTAAATGCATACGTCACGAAGTGGGCATGATCTCCTACTTTCTCTTCCAGCTTTTCCAAGAAGCTCAGGTCAGTCGCTTCCCCAGGCCGTAAACATTCCTCATCCTGGAAGAGCAGACACTGGATCAGGGCTGCCCTGAGCACCTGCTCCCTCCTCCACAAAATATAACTGTGTTACACAGAGCCTGAGACCGGTTGGTGGAGAAGCAAAGCACCCACCCCCTTCAACCCCCACAGCTCTCCAGCCGTCAGATCCTCCGCCTTCAACTTCTGGGTGTTTGTTTACCAAGGTCAGTGTGTTTACACTCTGGATAATGCAGATCCATCCCATAATCAGAGGGAAAAAAATGTGATTATGGGTCATTAGAGCAGGGCACAGGCCAACATTTTAATTTAGCACAAACTCTGTTCTTACCAGAATGGAGATTATTCCTTTGTGCTTCTGCTCAACCAAGTCACAGATGATTTTGTTGTTAAAATATGGGATTGGCTCCCACTGGAAGATGAAAACAGGAAGAACAGCTTTAGATGAAGACCTTTTCTTTGCAATTTTAAAGTTCTTTGGAACTTAGATCCCACTAAAGATCAGTGCTGTGAATTAGGACCAGCTGAAGGGAAAAGGTGACAGCACAGTGATCCATGACCCCACTCCAGAGTTCTCCTGCTTTCAACAGCCCAGACCAGCTCCTTGTCCTCTACACGAATGTTTTCCACCTTCTCATGTCTTGCACTGCTGGAGTTCCTCACTCTCCAGGGACATTGTCACTGCTTAACATCTGAGTTTTGGGGAAGGTCCTGCTTCTTTGTTAAATGATGTAAATTAAGTCTTGGCTAAATTACACTTCAAAAGGGGGTTCAGAATGAGACCCATGGCAATCTCACACTTCCCATGGGAACAATAACAAACTGAAAAAAGCAGGATGCCTTTCACATTGCTGATCAAAAGCATTCAGTGTAATGGCAGTTCAAAGAGAAAAGGAGGGGAAAATATAATGTACCTCTATCCCTTCCAGTTCGTATTCCTCCTGCTCTGCTTTCAGGGTCATCTCAATCAGCAGCTGCTGGAGCTTCTCATTGCAGTAATTAATGCAGAACTGCTCAAAGCTTCGGGGGGGTTTAAATGAGCATCAGGTTTTATGTATTTCATGGGCAGTTCAGCTTCTCCCACCAGCACCTGCTGTTCTCAAGCCAAACCACCCACTTCCACACAGACCAAACCCACACATCCCTCCCACACAGTGGTACCAACAGCCCAAACCCAGGCCTGCAGCCCAAGCTAAAGTTTTCAATGAGGTTCAGCAAACCCTCTGCACCCAGATTTTACAGTCCCCCATGTCTTGCCCTGCGGGGGGAAGAGCACACTCCAGAAGTCAGGCACGACTTCAGCGTATGCCCCAGGTCACCCCAAGCCTCAGGAACAGCCCTTACCTGTTTGTGTCCAGCACTTCAAAGCCATAGATATCCAGCAGGCCAATAACTGTTTTCTGAGTTGAATCCTGTTAAAGACACCACAGCTCTGCAACTGCTCCTTCCCTGCATGTTCCTTCTTCCACCTGAATTTTAAACTTTCTCTTTGAGACTTTCATGTCACATCCCAATGGAGAAGCCACTTTAAAGCAGGACCCCAGGCAAGAAACCAACCTTGTTGGCCAGAGAGCTGTTGATTTTGTTGACAAGCCACGTGAAAGTCCGTCCGTAAATCGCCTTGGCTACGGCGTCCCGAGCATAGAATGCCAGATCCACGTTCAGCGGGCTCAGGACCTGGAAATAAAGATATGCCAGAGCTGCCAACCACCACAGACAATCACAGCAAACTTCTGCCAAGCCAGTTCACACTTGTGGCTTGGTGTGCACCCCCACTGTTGTGCACCACAGCACAGCTGGGCTGCAGCTGCTCTTGTACATACCCATGGCAGGGGGTGGACTGGATGATCTTTAAGGTCCCTTCCAACCCAAACCATTCTGGGCTTCCATGATTCCACCTACAGCCTTATTTCCCATCAGTGTTCCTTCAACCACTACATGCCAGCAGGGTTGGGACACTACATTTTGAAGACTACTAACTTAGACAAGCGGGGGAGCTATTCTGACTTCCTCGTACTTTTATTTTATTAAAATAAAGATACAAAATGCTTGAAGAGCAGTTTTTACCAGTGTTTTCTTCCAGTTTCCCATGAAGCACTAAGGACTGGACAAAGGGAAATTGTTTGGCTCTAACACAGGGCTGCCTGCAAGTCCCTGCTCCCAGGTTTTTAACAGTTTCTTGTTCAGCAAGAAGCCGTAATATTGGGGATATATTTAATTTAATGTCTCAGCTAGAAGAAGGGGATGTGGAGGAGGAGTGGGACAGTCAGAGTGACCTGTTTGTACTGTAACATGGAGAACAGAGCTCCTTGTCCACCCCCCTCCCTCAGAGTTGGGGGTCTCCCAATGTCTGGGGTTACACAGAATCACTTGGTACCTCTTCGGATCTGGCCTCGATCTTGCGGTGGGTGAGAGCTTCCTGCAGGATGGACAGGTGAGCACCCAGGAGCTGCAGGAAAGGGGATATTTGCACTCGGGGCCCAGCCAGCAGGACACTTTAAAGAGGCAGCACAGTGTGACCAGTGGGGCACAACCCCCAGTGCCTTCCCAGTCACCCTCTTCTTTGAGCAACAGCAATTAAGGAAGTTCCAGGGAGATGAGCTACAGAGAAAATTCCAGACACTTTACAGCAAGAGCTGGGTATTTATATAGTTAGGTATTTATACAGTTATCCTCCTGTTTTGGGGAACAAATGTTTTGTCCTTAAGAAAAAAATACAGCAGGGTTAAGGTCTTCTTTGTAGCACTGGCAATACTGGCACTGTCTCAGCAAAGGTACCTTTGAAATCCACTTGATCTGGGTGCCATCCCGGATGATGGCATGGCCATTGCTGTCCTCTTCAAACTGAATGTTCCCGAGGTGCAGGACACTGGCAACAATTCCAAAGAGGTGCTAAGAACAGGAGGTAGACTATTAGAACACAGGTTTCCATAGCTTGGGAATGGTGCAACTCTTTCCTACACCTGCTGGTAACCAGAATATTGCCAGGCTGAGGGAGGTGAGTCAGAGGACCTGCTACAGGGGTGTGATGCCCCCACGGGCACCATGCTCCTCACCTATCCACTCCCTCAATCCCATGGAATTGCAAAAAGGACCTTGAGGATTTTCCAGGCCCACTCCTGCCATGGGCAGGGACACCTTCCACTGTCCCAGGTTGCTCCAAGCCCCATCCAACCTGGCCTTGGACACTTCCAGGGATGGGGCAGCCACTGCTTCTCTGGGCAACCTGTGCCAGGGCCTCACCACCCTCACAGGGAAGAATTCCTTCCCAATCTCCCATCTAACCCTGCCCTCTGTCAGTGGGAAGCCATTCCCCCTTGTCCTGTCACCTGTGCTTTTGTAAAAAGTCCCTCTCTATCTTTGTTGTCGGCTCCCTCCAGGTACTAACCACCAAAATAATGCCCTATTCCACCCTTAACACCTCTCCCAAGAAAGGCTGCTTCCATCGGTTCAGGAAAACAGCAGTTCCCTCCTTAAATTCCCTTTTAACACACACACCTCGACATCTTTCTCAGTGAAGTCAATGATAGAAAAAGCTTTGCGGACTATTTTCCAGTCGTTCTTGTCATTAATAGAAAACACTTTGGCACATCGACCCTACAGTAAAAGAAAGATGGATTAGCACAGTTCATTGGCAAAGCAAATTTGTTAATCAGCAATCAGATACTTCTGGGCAGACTGCTTTCATTTCCAGTTTCCTCAGCAAGTTATGTCAGTGCTATTAATCCTAGAAGTGGCTCTTTTGATGAGATTTTCCAGTTTATACTGAAAACCTGATACAAAGCACTGAGTGTTACCATAAACTGGTTAAGGCTTGTGCAGAGCCTGAGCTTGCAGCCATCCTCTGTTTTTCAGGGTAAGAATATCTCCTGCCCAAGCTGCCTTTGCAACCCCTGTGATTCCTGGTGTGCCACAGAGGGAGCAGCTCCCACTGACCTGGATGAGATACGTGTACTTCTGGGGGTTGCGCTCCAGCCCGAGCCAGGACAGAAGATCCTTCTCTCCACCCTCCAACAACTGGTAGAAAATATGGAAATTCCTTTCCCCGTGGTTTTGGTGGACAACTCTGGATTTCTCAATTAGGTAGCTGAGGATGTGCCCTCCCACTGGTGCTCCCTGGCAGGACAGAGCAGTCAGATCAACACCAAAAATACCAATAACATCCCTATGATGGCTGGTTTTTTACACCCGGGAATGAGGAGCAGGATCAGGAAAACCCCGATTCTGCTGTCACTTATCTGCCACCTTTTATTTGAGAGTGAGTATCCAGCAACATTACAAGGGTTTGCTGTCCTGCTAATTGTGCTTTACAACTCTCTCTCAGCTTTCCAGGGAGCACTGGCCGGATCGCCAGTGATGTAGGAAGCTTTCAGGATGGATAACTTGTGACCTTACCTGCAAAATGCAAGGCCTGTAAAAACAGGATCACAAATGTGCAGTGTAAGGATTAATAAATCCTGGGCTGCCTGGTCAGTGCCCAAGAGGTTCTCTGATCCAGCTTGTTTTCCCACAGTGCTCCACTGGGTTTGTTCTCACCTTAAAATCAAACTGGATGTCCATGTATTTCCCAAACCTACTCGAGTTGTCATTGCGCAGAGTTTTTGCATTCCCAAAAGCCTGTGGATACACAGACAGGTAAAGTCACTTCTTATCTCACTGAAAACCTGACACAGGACCAAGTTCCAGTAACAAAGCTGAGTCCCACTGAATTCAGCGGGATTAAAGAAATACAAACTCATGTATTTCTGTAGCTTCCAGTGAAATTCAGCTAAACCAATTATTGCTTTACAGAACCTGTAACTGAAACCCCAAGGAGCTGTTGCATGGTTTCCTTGTACCCCCAGGTTTCATCCAGCCTCCACTAGAAACCCCAAGTTTAAGTTTCCAAACATTAAACTGTATTAAATCCCAAGGATTCTTTCAGAGGTTGTGCCACCAAGAGGCCAGTGTTGGCCATTCCTGGACCCAGGGGTGCAGACTTGGTGGCCTCACTGCTCAAAGCTTCCTCCAACACCAACCTTTGTTTATTTCCCCCCTGATTTAGTTTCTTACCTCAAGAACAGGGTTGGAAAGGAGCAGCCGGTCCCGGACGATCTGCAGCTGCTCCGTGGTGGGACAGGTCACTGCGTAGTACTGCAGGATCTTCTTGGATGCCTCTGTCTTCCCAGCCCCACTCTCTCCAGAGATGAGGATGAAGTGGTTGTTGTACTCGCTGCACATCACCCGGTAGGCATTGTCAGCTATGGCATATCTGGACATGGCACAGGAGGCATTTGGAGGGGAACATCCGTCAGGAATGGCACAGGAGACAGAATACCAAAGGCTTTCCAGGGTATTCGCTCCTGCTCTAACTTTACAAGTGTTGGACAGGATCATAGAATCCCAGATGGTTTAGGTTGGAAGAGATCTTAGACATCATCCCTTCAGCGAAGACTTAATTATCCTTGTGGGTCATTCCCAACTCAGAATACTCTGTGATTCTGTGATCTCATCCCAACCCCCTGTGGTGGGCAGAGACACCTTCCACTGGGAAAGCTGAGCTCAAAATGAGTCTGACTCAAAGTTTCATAGTAAAAACCGGACCTAGTGCCTGTGGACACACCCCCGTGGTGCCCCAGCATTACAGAGAAATCCCAAATCAGTGATCCAAGCTGACATCCCAAGGGATTACTTACAGATGCGGTGGCAGTTCAAAGAAGTTCACCCCTCGGTAGAGCTGCATCTGAGTCACGGTGTAGATGTCCAGCTCCTTGTAAGGGTTCACAGACACGAGGAGGGTACCAATGTATGTCTGCAGGAGAGAGAGCACTCGAGTGGGAAACCTGCTCCAGCACAGGAGTCATGGCTCCCAAAGCAGGAGTCAAGTACTAAAGAAGCAAGAACCAAAGAAGATAGCACGGGGCTTGCTAAGAGAGAACCAAACAAACCAACCCAAAAAAACCCCTCCACAGCCTTCATTATTTCAAAGTCAACACCAAACTTCTTCCAAAATCTCTTGTTATGAGTAGAGCTGAACCATGACAGCAAGCTCAGGGCCTGACATTTTAGATGCAAAGTCCCATAAGCATGGGACCATCCCATAAGTATGGGGTCCTTATGGGATCTTTCTCCTACTTATGGGATCCTTCTCCTACTAAAGTTAACATAACATACAACAAAATCCTCGTCACCTCCCAGACAAATCAGGTATAATGTTCTGCCTTACCTTCAAGCATCGTGTTTCCTTTCCCGTTCCATTACTATTTACTGCACATCCTTTAAAACTTTGCAAGGCAACTCAGAGCAAGCTGTGACTGTAATTTTCATCAGCTAAAGTAGACAAACCACTTCTGGATGATCACCCTGCTGGGTACTACAAACATCCAGCAAGGCTTGTTGCTAGATTCACAGACTGTACACAGCTCTTCCTCCTGGATCCGACCAGCAAGGCCCCTTGGAGGCATTTCACACAAGTCCACACAACCAGCACTCACATAGATGAGGTTCTCCTGGTACCGCTTCCGCAGGTTGTTGAGGAAAGCAGCCTCGCTGGTGTGGGAGTCCAGGAGCACAAAGTCCTGCACCCCGACCCTGTCCCGGGCTATCAGAGCCCCCTCCATGTTCTCGTCGGTGTTGTCGTCCACTTCTTCCTTCTGCAACACAAAGGTGGGGGGGACACAGGATTGGGAGGGAGCAGAGTTAGGAGAGACCTGAAGGGCCAGGTGAGTCCCTCCCCAGGGCCAAATCATCCTTGCAAAGGTAATGCCAAGAGATCCTTATTCCAGCTTGTCCAGAGATGGCAATTCCACGCCATGAGAGTTTGCATTTTGATGTCTTCGAAGTCAAGACGTCTGAGACTCACTGCTGGGATCAGGGAGGAAGACCAGGGTTTCCAGGCACCCTCGCTGAACACAACAGCAAGGTGAGACAAACCCAGCCCCAGAGATGCAGTTGGGATCTGCACACTGCAATGACTCAGTCTGGACAGAGCCCTTGCAAGCACAAAGCCTGAATAAACGGTGGAAAACACCAGTCAAACCAATAGTTCTACACCATCTGCAGCTCCTTTACACAGACAGAAATGCACAAGTGGAGAAACTCTGGGAAAAGCTGCATGAGACCTGACTTTTAGGGGAAAAAGATACTACTTAGCACAAGACTCCGTTATTCCCAGTATCTCCAGGTCGAGTTCTGGTGCTGGCAGCAGAGGTCCCCACACGCCAGCGGGAGCCACGGCCACCGCGCTGATAAAAACAGTCAAACAGCAACTCGGGCACAGTTAGACCCTTCCCAGTACACCCCCATCCTTCCCAAAAGACTGACAGATGCCAAAAAGGGTGTCACTGATCAAACCTAATTCTTTTGCACCCTCCACCTCTGATTATTTATCGTGGAAGTTGAGTTCACACTGGAAATTCTCTCTGCTGAGGATCAAGCTCGATTCCCAGGCTGTAAGAATAAACTATGCTTTTTATTTAAGTAAATCAAGCTGCTAATTTCATGCTGGCAAATAGAAAAAAAAGTTTTGGCTACATATTCTCCATGTATTTTCCTACATTACACATATTCTACAATAATATTGTGCTAAAGTGGTGTTTTCTGGGTTTCTGGTTTTTTTGTATTTTAAAGACACCAGAATTAGACAGTTCAGAGAGAACTAACTAACCAATGCATTAAATGCTTCCCTTAGGACAGAAGTGAAATCAAAGAGTTGGAGTAGCTTACCTTGCAGGGTTCCAGGCTTTGGGAATTAGGGGAGAGGATGCGGCCGAGCAGCTGGAGCAGCTCTGGAGGCTCAGGGCTGTGATCACCAGCCCAGCACCTTTGCTGTTCTGCTCCTGCCCTTGGGGACATTGGTTTTGCACATTTTGCTGCTCCACTGCTCCAGAGATGCTGTGATTGTGTGTGAGGTTTCCAGTGAGAACTAAAAGGGCTGTGATGGTCTGTTTGTGCAGTGCCACCTCATGTTCTCCCTTCCCTTTTTTTGTTCAACTTTTATTTTTCTAAGGCAGAAGCTTTCAAATTGTAAATAGACACAGACTAAAATGTTTCTGCAAAGCTTTGGCAAACTCTGGCTCCAGAAGGAGGCTTTTGGGATGAGCCTGGACTGCACTGGTGGACATTAAGGACACCAAGTCTCGGGGGATTTAGGAGCAAGGTTGAATAATTGAAGAGCAAAGGACCCATCCACACAATATTCTTTATAACTCAGGCAAGCTCAGAAGAATCAGTCCTTAAACAGCTATTTTAATGTTATTCTCATTTTACAGCCTGTTCTTTACATTTATCTGTTTATCTCACTGAGAGTGATCTGAGCTTTGAGATGTATATTCAGCAGTAACACTACCACATACTCCAGAGAGAGATCCCCTGAAAGCCTGTTATTTAAACCTTATCACAGTTTAAAAATAAATAAATCAGACCTGCACTAACTTCACACACGAGGAATTACATCTTTGCCTTTCACATCCTCTACCTCCAGCTGCCTGTCCTCAGCCCCAGGCTGGCAGGACACAGCATTCCTCATTTTTCCTGAGCCAGGCCACAGTGTGACTGTGATCACTTCTTTCTTCTGCCAGAAAGATACCCCCAGTTTTTCCTTTTAATATTAATATCCCTTTTTTCCCCTCCTCTGCACAGGACCTGTCTTAACAATTTGTTGCGCTTGTCCTTATCTCAGGCTCCATCAGTTTGGAATTAAAAATAAAGGATGATTTCACTTCTCAAACCAGTACCTGGACAGATCCCGCTACCTGTGTAGGGAGGGACGTGGAGGGGGGGGAGGAAAAATTATAATAATAATAATAATAATAACAACAACAACAAAAATAATAGGATGTATCCTTCTTAGAAAGCTCTTGGGACAAGCTGCACAGGAGACTTCCATTCTTTCCCAGTTGGGAATTAGGAAAGGATAAGCCTGAAACCACAGTGACCATCTCCCTGCTCAGGTTTCCCTAACCCAGTTCTCTCACGTGTATGTTAATTGGTAAGTGACAGTGGTGCCCATCAAAATTCCTGAACTCTTTTCTGGACTTTTTTGTGCTCTGATTTTCTCAGTATTTTACTGTTGCTGATATTTTTATTATCACAGCACCATTTACTGCCATTTACACCCATTTCTGGAAGTTTACCACAATTTTCTGCTTGCCTGGTATGACCAGGAGTAAGATACCCCAGGACTCAACAGGTCACAGAACCCCAGCAAGAATCTGCTCTCTTTTAAGGATTATTTTCCTTTCCTCATCACTCAGGAGTCAGGAGATTTCTTTCTTGCCTCCTGAGATAGGAGCTCTATCAAAAAAACTCTCCCTTGCTACAATGAAAGGTTTTGCTTTTCCCACAGGGATTTGTCCATCAACACAGAAACTACAAGGAACTACGTCAGATCCCAACACAGATTCTGTGCAGCTCTTGGGAAAGGTCTAAAATGAGGTCAGACAGAACAGGCCAGTTTCTTTGACAAAGTTTGTACCAGTTTGAAGCAAGATCTGGCAAGGAACGGGTAGAAGACAAAAAAAGAACCAGAAAGAAAGCAACTTTGCAAAATTATCACTTATCTTCATCAGAGGATCAAAACTTCATTTTTCAACAGGCTCTAAAGGGAATTCTTGATGTTTCTTTGGTTTAATGTCATAGAACAGAAGAGATTAATGTAGAGGGGGAGAGGAGGAACAGCTATGAGGCCACTGCTATTTTGGAAGCACTAGAAAAGCCCAAACCCTGCAGGTACAACGAGGTGAGAGCAGGAACAATTTCACCCCCTGTACCTTTGGATCAGCCTCATACCCCCCACCCACCCAGCCAGGCCCCACCTGCACCAAAATGCCATTCAACCCCCAGACCCAGGTTATTTGGGCCACCCACAAGGCCACCAGTTCCCATCACAACAGCAGAAAATCTTCTCAAGGATCCTCCACACCCCCAACCATCCCAACCTGCCGGAGCTGCTGGATTTCCCTCTTTCCCTGCCACCAGCACACTACAGATGCAGAAGTGGTTTTACTTCACATCTGCCTCCTGCTTTACCTGCACCCTCCTGTCACCTCCTTGTCCAGCCCGGCTCCTTCCACAAAGAGTTAACGGGGCTGGAGTTGAGGCCCGTTGACACCCAGGATCGTGTGTCGTGTTCGCTGCCCCTCCTTGGGCAGGGCTGCACATCCTCCTTCTGTCATGAATTATCCAACGTCCTGTCAGCGCCCGAGCCCGGGGAGTGCAGGCTCGGGGAGATCTTACATCTCATCTGAGGCTGAAGGTGGACCGGTGGACTACGACCTTTCTGATGGGCAACTGGAGCAAATCCAGGCGCAAAATACATCCCACCACCCCGACCAGGCTCCTCAGCCCCTTCCCGCAGCTCCCGCCTTGGTTCCCACTAGAGGTCACTGCAAAACCCGGTTTAATTTGCGGTTTCTGCAGATTATGCATTTTTTTTTTCCCCCTTATCAACAGTTTCTCCCCCCAAAAGTGACTTCTCAGGTTGGACCACCAGCAACTCCCAGTGATCCTTGAGCAGCCTTAAACATCCCCTCCATTCTATTCACTGCTCTCCAGATGATGCTCCCAGGAATTAAGAGCTCTGTATTTAAGGAGATTCACACCCAAGTCCCACCTCACTGAATGATGAAGGAGATCTCATGAAGGGACTCGTAGCAGAATCAGGGTCTCCAGAGGTGGAAAAACCTACAAGATTATCTTGGTTTTACAGCAACACTTAGGGATTAGAGCTCTCACCTCGTGGCTCAGAACCATTAAGGAAAACCAGCACAGAGCTCAACCCAGGGAGCCGAGTGAGGCAAAGGCATTGCTGCTTTATCCTTAGCTAATAAATACTGATTGTGAACAAAAACATTCAAAACTTCAAAGAAAAACCCCCTCAATAATGCATATTTCCATAGAGAAGTGGGGAAATCACCTGTCTGACAGTTTATTTAGACCCACCTCTTTCCCAACAGAATCAATTTTTGGTATCAGAAATACAATTCTTCCCCCCAAGAGCACATTTGTGTTATGATCTCTGCAAAAAACGTCCCCTTTCCACCCCCTCCAAAACTCCAAACCTTATCTAAGGCTGGACATGATGACCCTAAAGCCCAGTTCAAACTGTTTGTTCAGCTCTGTCTCCATCTGCCATCATAGAATCATGGAATATCCTGACTGGGAAGGGACCACAAGGACCAACCCCTGGCCCTTCCCAGGACACTCCAACAATCCCACCCTGTCCCTGAGAGTGTTGTCCAAACACTCCTGGAGCTCTGGCAGCCTTGGGGCCGTGACCATTCCCTGGGGAGCCTGTTCAGTGCCCGACCACCCTCTGGGGGAAGAACCTTTTCCTGAGATCCAACCTAAACCTCCCCTGACACAGCTCCAGCCGTTCCCTCGGGTCCAGGAAATTTCTGTGACACCAAATATTTACGACCTTTTTTGTGTGTGTGTTCTCTGTAGTTACAGGCTTGCTCAGGACAGATGAGCATGGAGCAGCTCTGCTAACACAGATTCCCTCAGGAATGTTGGAGTTCTGTTTTGGAAATACTCATTTATGTGGGAGCAGCAGCTCCCTGACCCAGCCCTGCTCCCTTTGGGTGCACCAGGAATTCACTCATTAAGAGTCCTGGAAGTTGGGCTGCAGGGATCACAGCGAGGAAACCCCTGGGCCCTGCCCCACCCTCGGCTCTCAGGAGGAGCTGGCCAAAAGGGCAGTGACATGAAGGATGGTAAAGAAAGATGTTCTGGGAGAGGCCTTGGCAGGGTCAGCAGGGGAG